CCTTTTCGGCTTAATTCGATGGCTTCTTTTATTTTTAGTTTAATTGCAGACATACTATAATCAGCAAAACGATAAGTTTGAGATCATTCAATCTTGTATTCAGATTATGTTTTATGCTCAGCGAGCTCTGATTTTTGAACCCAGCAGCCTCTGCAGCCGCTTTTCTGCTCAACCACCCTTTGTATAAGTTTATTTAGTATATAAGTAAGCTCTTATCTAAAATGAAACACTTATGGTGAATTTAATAGAATATAAGAAAAATATGGAAAAAAGAGCAAATTTCATATTTTCTGGATTAGGAATAAAGGAAGCATTTTGATGGACTTTCAAAAGCGTGGAAAAATTTGAGAGTTGCGAAGGTCCGGTGAAGGCTTTTTAGAACAAAGAATAAGAAACGTAAACATTTAATATTAATGAGTAATATGCGTGCCTGGAGACATGCTTTTAGTGGAAATCGTGATTTTAGAACAAATTAGAACCAGAATGTGTAGACAATTTTGAATACACCATTATCAAAACATTTAAATATGGGATCTTAATTTGGATCAGTCATCTTCATCACTACTGGCTTCAGCAACTGCATAAGTCTCCAAAAGGTGATTCTGAACCTGATCAGCTAGCTCGGCTAAATCGGTTGCCTCAAAACCCGTCAAGCCACCACCTATTTTTTCTTTGCTAAAACGATGAGCAGAATAAAATCCAGCTGTAGTGCATAGGGCTCGGATACCAAGGCTGATGGCTGTGGGCTTTGTAGATGACTCCGGAATCGCTGGTGCATCAAGAAGGCATGCTGCACTGAGTTCATGAGTAAGACAACAGCTCGAAGTGTTCTGCAATGGTATTAGAAGAAAATCATATAATCTATATATACTACTTATAAATGGCTGTCAGTAGAAACATTTAACTAATGAAAGATTGCAGAAATTGGAATAGAGAAAATAATGGATACGAATCTAGCTGAGTTTTGATTAATCCATTTAGATATAATTCTTGTGGAGATCTTTATTTCGTATGAAAATGCACGATAAAGAGGTTCGTTGGTTGAAATAACCAGAATACAACGGCCGATTCCCGCTGTTCTGCAATCGTTTGGCTCTAATAACAAATTCATATTGGCGCAGTTAATGAAACGTCCTCCTCGTCTCACTTCTGCCTTGTTAAGCATAGTCATGCTTAACCGCGTAGTTTGGTGCCAACGTGTCGCTATGATCCATGCTTGATTACCAATTGGATTGCTAATGAGACTCAGGTGAAGTCGAAAGTACAAACCCTACTGAATGCTAAAAGCTTTTTTGGAAGCAATTCAAATGAAAATAAATTGCAGCGTAAACCCTACACATAGTGGTTCAGGGAAAATTAACTATAAGTATTTCATAATCCTAAGTGACATTATCCGGCCTTCAGAACCTTATATGGCCTAGGGTGAATAGAGTTCTTAGCCTACTTAAGTTACTACAATTTAATCAATTTTAATGTTAGAGTACATATCGTTTCCTTTTAAGAGGGAAGCGGAAGTTAGCCTCACTGGAGT